CATGCTTTCAATGAGTACACCATCATCCTGTTCAAAAGAGAGGGGAAAAGAGAAAAATAGATAAAAAACAGAAGAGCAACAACAACATAAAATGAATACTGCAGAACTACAGCACTAGTGTAGACATGAGTGCACTTTGTGTGCCCCAAAATGAATGCCATAATATTCCTCAAAGTGCAAGCTACTATAGATTCGGAACAAATTACAATGTATAGTTACCCTTGGACATATAGGACACCAGGCTCTATTGTACAAATTTCCATTGTAGTTTGTACAATGCTTGTACTGATGCATGAAATACCTTCACCTGAAAACATCAAAATGTCAATTAGGACTAATTATTTTCTTACAGCAACTCAGTAAATGTACATGTACAGCAAGAAATATGTCTTGTAAATTAATATAAATGGAATCTTGGCCCTAAAACAAACAGTCAATGTATCTTTGAATCATATGAACACAAAAGCGACAAAAGCAAAGCATGAGTTTGACAGCTATATATTTAAGCTGGGCAACTAGATAATAAATAAAGAAATATAATAATTATATAAAGAAGCACTTGTAAATCATATTGTGACTGCCTCTACTATTACTAAATGATGATGATGANGTGGTTTTCTTTCCATCGCGCCTTCACATCAAGGAAGACAGGTTCTAACCAACACATATCGCAGCGGTCACCTTGGCTTGTTTACCGAAGAGTGAGTGATTTGATTGGTCGAAATGTTTATGCATATTTAATGAGCTATTGGGAAGACTTCGATGATCATTTAAAACGGCTTGAACTCAATGATCTAAAGTTAGATTGGGTGGGAGTTAGCCATTTAGATTGTGTTAGTAGGGTGCTTGTCGATGAAATGAAAGGAATCACCGGAAACTGCCCCGGTTTCAAAGATGGATGTCCATTCAAGAACCTGACAAAAGTGGGTGAGTATGTGGGAAAACTGGCCCAAATGCGAGATAACTCCCACGGGTTGAGCTGCATTCGAGAAGTTGATGAAGAGGGTGTTGTATCTTAGGAAACTCAAGGACGAAATTATAACCAAACCCGCAATGAACATGAACATTCCAAGATCTTTTTATTCCTGTTCTTTTTCAGCGCAGGCGCATCCATGTACACGTAACACAACCATGACGTAACTTAATATAATGTAACACAAGTATAACAAAACAAGGTCACGATATAAAGAGGGTTCATCAGATTTGCAAGGAGGTTGAGAAGAAAGCTGGACCCTGGCCATTCCCTCCAAATACCTGTCCAATCTTTGCCCATGATGCACATGGAAAGTGCATAATGCCAAAATACAACTTGGCCTCCGCTGAGAGAAAGATGAAGGATCTGACAGGGCCAAAATCGATTAAGTAGTTAATTAGAAATTCCTATTATCTCCATTTTGGTGTCTTGTTTAGGGTACGATTTTGTAGCAGAATCTCGCGTTATAGCTCTCGAACCCGCATTAAAAGTCAAGCTTTCACATTGTAAATGGAGATCTTGAATTAAAACTAGAATAATAAACTCTCCCTTCGTAGCGAATAAATCAGACTAAACAGGACCCTTGTGGGTCACTGTAGGATACATGAGGGTCGCTAGTCAGGAAAATCACGCAACTTAACGAAATAGTTGATTAATAAAGAAATACAAAGCGACTCTGTCTCAAGTTCTTCCATTTTTCATGATTCTTCGAATTCATTTCACAAGTCGTCCGTTTAGGAAGAGGCTTGTCTTCATTCGGTTTTATTACTTAATATTAAATTATGGGTATGAGGCAACATTATGTAATACCTATATTAAACACTGTTATCTATGAACACGTGCGAGTACATGTGAGTTACCAATGCAAGTAGGAATGAAAATACTTTAAGGAAAGAAAAGTAGAACCTTGTGGTTGCGTTCTCCATTCACCCTTACCCCAATCCACGGTCAGTTACACAATCGAAAAATCTCTTTTGATTTACTTCATATTTTCAAAGTACAGTTTTTAGTTTTTCCACGCTTCGGAAAGCTACTCCCTATGGAGAGCAACCTTTGTGATTCACACAAACCTGTTTTGCAGTAAACGGTTTAAACCCAGGGTAATATGTGAAAGTGTAGTGTGATCGTCTGGCTGAGTGTAGTCATGGGAAGGACTGTTGTAGGTGGTAGTGACTGACGTTTCGACAACCTGTGCGGAAGTCAACATCACAGTCAAGGATGACTCTAATGATGACTTCCGGGCAGGTTGTCCAAACGTCAGTCACTACCACCGACAACAGCCCTTTTTAAGATTACACTCACCCGGACGATCACACTACACTTTCACAAACCTGCTTTGATTTGTCATTTATCATAGTTTTCTAAATCAGCCCGCGCTACGGTAGAAAAATGCTCTGGAGAGTTTCAATGTGAGCCTTGCACTAAGGAGGGTCAATCAGCTGTAATTTTTTGTTTTTGATGGATATTGTTTGGCTCATTTTCATTCTACTTCCAGAACGCTCTCCGTTTGCTGTTGTTGAGAAATGTTTTATTATTTTCAAGCCAGGCTGTCACAGCATGAGTAAAATGGTTCTAGAGACTGAACAGAGCTTTGACTCTTATTGAAAACTCAGTCTTAGAAGAGCATGCCGTGCATTTGGCAAGAGGAAGGTAACGTTATTTCGTTTGCTGCGCGCTCCGTTGTCAACTGACGTTCCCGTTCTCTCGCAAAATCCTTTTAATAAGTAATGAAGCCGACTGCACGGAAACTTCTTCCGAAACGGACGACTTTTGAAATTAAGTCAAAGAATCATGAAGGATGGAAGAATTTAATAAAGAGTCGCTTTCTCTTTCTCTATCAATCAGTTAGTTCAGTAAGTTGCATGATTTTCCTGGCTAGTGACTTTCATGTATCATACAGTGACGCACAAGGATCATGTTTGGTTTGATTTTTTTCGCTAGGAAGGCAGATTTTTTTAGTCAAGTTTTAACTCGAGAACTTCATTTCCACCGTGAGATCTTGACTTTTAATGCGAGATCAAGAGCTACACGCGAGATTGCGAGCTATAATTTAAGATCTGGATATACAACGCACGAGTCAGAACTTAACATATACAAGTGAACTTCTCGATTATTTCGATTATCTGTGCCTGCGTCTTCTAATTCCCTTGCTTTATGTGTTCTTGAAAATCGAAAGGTTTACAAAGGAAAGAGCAGATCCAAACTTAAAGGTTTTTTGGGTCGAGATATCACTGAGTTACAATAGAATATCTATGCTAATTATATGACTTAAGATCTGTACTTAAAACGCGAGATCACTACACTTAGCTTCAGATCTCCAGATTTTTTTTGATGAGTCCACAAAACCGCAAACTGACTTAGTTTGTCACGATATGAATAACCGTTGAATTCGGATTGCTCGAGCCTTTTCCACAGTTACAAAACGAGATTCCGAGCTCTAATTTAACCTCTGGATATAAAACGCACGAGTTAGAGGTAAAATAGAAGATCTATGCTAATTATGTGACTTGAGATCTACTTAAACACGAAGGCGCGCTATAAAAGGAGCCTTAGGTCCCACTGGACCATTTGTCAATCAACCGTCGTGTGATGTAGAACTCTTAGAGTCAAGTCAGCTTGAGCTACAGCTACTCCAAAGCAGTAAACAGCGGGCACATTTGGAGTAAACAGCGGGCGAATTCCTCAAAATCGTTTTATGTCCTCATCACAATACAAGAATTTTTGAGATTTGTATTTCCTTTCACCAAAGGAAACTGTCTTTATTTGTGGCGGTAAATTTGAGATCGAGGTCGGTAGTTCGCACGTTACCTCATGCCACCATGCTGGTGGAAGTAAACAATAGATATCTCATTAGCTCCTTTTGTTCGTCTATCAGCATTTAAATTTGACCTGCACACGTCAACGGTGAGTGACAAATGAGCCTAGATCTTCCCGGGGAAGACTTCCTTATATAGCGCGCCTTCGTGTTTAAAGCGCGAGGTCACGACACTTATCTCCAAATCTTTTGATAAGAGTCCACAAAACCGGAAGCTGTCCTCGTTGGTCACCATATAAATTACCGTTAACTTCAGATTGCTCCAACCTTTTCCATCCCTCAAGTGAGTCTCGAATTAGTTGCTCATCCCCTTTTCACCTCATTTCATCGGTTTATGATCACCTCAATGGCTAAATTTCAAACAAAGACCTTGGGTATTGACCGAGTTATGATGAGAAAATGTCTCAAGAGACGGTTAGCTACTAGCTATTCAAAAGACAAATTTTCCGCTCGAGCTACCATCCACTACAGGCAGACAAGACAACATCCCATTCATCATAAAACAACAGCATGAAGTATATATGTTGTCGCTCTTTTGGGAGATTTGTAAAAGGGTACGGTTTGGGTTAGTGTTCTAAAAACAATTTATCTAAAAACAATTATCTTAAAAAGTCAATTGGCCGGCATACCCACTCGTACCTACCGAAGAATAAAGTTTGGGCTTTAGAATAAGTATTCAGTGAAAGTCAAAGAGAAACTGAAATCTTCGATCAGAGTAAGACTCGGAGTGTAAAAAGGAGAGTGAAATAAATTTAATATAAGTGGAATTATATTAGAGGAAAGAGATTAAAGGGGATCAGAAGAACAGATAGGGAGTCCTTTGGTGCCTTTCTCTAAGCGTACGTGGCGCGCTCTGCAGCTTGTTTTCCTCGTTACTATGACTCAAAACATTTATGCCTTGTAAGAACTGTAGGGTAATGACCAGCGCCTCTAAACAGTTCACGTGGCGCAACGCTGAACTTTTAATTTAGTATTTATAAAGGTATTACGCAATGAAACTCACTTAAGCTTAGACAAAGGACATGATTCAAGAACATACTGTGAACTTGTGTACAATTGGGATGGGGGGTGGTCACCTTTACATAAAAACACACGGATATAATTTCATGTTGAACTTTCCCTTTGGCACCTCAAGCGGAAATTAGCTGTCGAAGTTAAATCAAAACAAATTAAAAGTAGGAATATAAATCAAAAGCCCAAAGATGAAAACTTTATTGTTAAGATTGATCACTGTTATAACGTAAAAACTGCTCTTGAAGACGAGATTAGACAAAATAATGACCAAAGAATGACCTGAAAAATCCCTACAATATTCTTGTTGAAGAATGATAACCTTTAAAATTGTTAATTACAAAATAAGTAAAAGACCTATTCGGAAAAAGGCCCTACACCGAAACCCATAGAAGCAAGGAGTATATGTGACAAAAATAACAAATAGCAATGACGTAACTGACTCATGCAATTCCATAGTGCTTCATTAGGAATGGGGTCTTACAGCCCGGCTGAATAAGTGGGAGCTCTCGATAGGTAATTCGTAACCTATCTCATCATCTCGTCAAATACCAAGGATTTTTTCCCAAACAAAAAAGTTCCAACACCAAACCTGTGTAAAATGAAAGTTAAAACATTGGAAAGAAACTGGCTGACTTAAAATCGTACCCTAAAAAAGACACCAAAATGGAGATAATAGGAATTTCTAAAAAAAACTACTTAATCATAATTGACCCAGTCAGATCCTTCTTCTTTCTCTCAGCGGAGGCCTAGTTGTATTTTGGCATGATGCGCTTTCCATGTGCATCATGGGCAAAGATTGGACAGGTATTTGGAGGGAATGGCCAGGGTCCAGCTTTCTTCTCAGCCTCCTTGGAGATCTCATGAACCCTCTTCAACAAGTTCTCGAATGCAGCTCGACCCTTGGGAGTGGCTRTCTTATCACGCATTTGGGCCAATTTTCCCACGTACTCACCCATGGTTGTCAGGTTCTTGAATGGGCATCCATTCTTAAAGCCGGGGCAGTTTGCGGCGATTCCTTTCATTTCATCAACAAGAGCTTTATATGGGCAAACACCTTTTCCAAAAACTGGGCATTTCTCGACGATCTTCTCAACCGTTAAAGAATATGGATACTGCAGGTTTAAGTGAAAATAAAGTTACTAGAAACAAGGATATTGACTGGGCACCGGTACATAACAACTTAAATAACTCAGCCGCGAGCCAAACATATTTGTCTTCACTTCAGGTTATAGATTCTATAGAATATCAATGTTTCGAGATTTGTCCTGAAATGGAAAAAAAACATTGGATGATAGCAATTATTTGGCATTACTTTAAAACTGTAACGTATAATGAAATTCTTGTTCCTTATTTATACGTTAGAAAGCTCTTTACTGATGTTTTACCTTTAAAATTCTCATTCTGAAAGCGAAGTTACCTACCACAGTGTATGTAGGTTTCAAAATCTCCTTTCCTGCAGTATCTTTGGCAAAGGGGCAGCCACCCTTGAAGAAGCTTTGAGGGGAGACAGTTCCGTACTCCAAGTCTTTTTCCTTGCTAAGAAAGTGGACCTCCTTCAAAAACTCGATCCATTGAGCTTCGCCTTTGGACTGCTTCCGCATCTGACCCATCTTCTCTTGAAGCTCACCCACAGTCTTGCATTCTTTGAAAGGGCAGCCATTATCGAAAGGGGGACATTTGACACAGACGCCTTTCTTTTCTTGGGCAAGCTTGGCGTATGGGCAGCCACCACCAACAAATGCTGGGCAGTGCTTTGAAACGTAATCTACGGTGACGTCTGACGTCTAAAAGGTTGAAAGAAGATCGGAAAAATCGGGCTTAACGAGGCGTTTCCTCAAAGGTGATGGCCGCAATTCAAAGCACTAACAGCTAGTTACCATTTCCGCCTTACATACTATCAGGTCGTAGCAGAAAGACCAATAGTTGTAAGATTAGAGAGAAAACGACTGACCTAGAGCGACCGCGAATCAACTGTTTGTGGACTGAAAGAGAGTTCTGCGTTTGTGCAGATCTATTTATATCCCAACTACTCAGTCTGATTATTTCTCTCGTCATTGAAATCGTGGTCAATGCGCAAATAAACGAGGCTCTAATCCTTCGACCTTACGCATGAAATATGCGCCTAACAGCCATGAGGAGTTTTTGTACTTTCTTTAGATCAGTCTTTTCCACGAGAACACCGACGTTAAAATCGTGCGACAGTAGAGTACAAACTTTTCTTACAGCTATACAGTCAACGTCCACTAAAACGGACACGAATTATGTCAATTGGGTTAAGCTCGCATAGGTACTTAGTCTAGGTTGAAGGGCCTAACCTGAGGGTTAAAATTTCAACGCAGAGTGTGCTGCTCAAATATACCACTTAATCAAATCGCTCAAACTCGCCAGTCCTAATTTAGATTTTATTAAGCTCAGTCTTTTAAAGGCCGGGGCAGCCTATCCATTAAATGAAATACTATAACGATTAACTATAGTAACTCCAACTTTTAAATGCGTTGCGTCTGTATTTCATAAGAGTTTAGGACAATCGATTACATAATTACATGATTGTGCGGACACGATGGCTCAACAAGACGGAAGACGAAAATGGCAACATCTAAAGATTTTGTCTATCATTATAAAGAGAAAAATGGGGCAGAATGGAAACTGTGGGTTTGTTACGTTCCATGGCTACAGTTTGAACGACTTCATCATCTTCATAACCTAAGGCACGTCTTCTGTAATTATAACTTGCTTCGTTTTATGATCTATTAGCAGTGATGTTGAACTTAGCATGTAGTAGTGAACTTCTCGATTATTTCGATTATCTGTGCCTGCGTCTTCTAATTCCCTTGCTTTATGTGTTCTTGAAAATCGAAAAGTTTGCAAAGGTAAGAGCAGATTCAATTTGAAAGATTTTTGGGTCGAGATATCACCGAAACAAAATGCAAAGATTAACCATGGCGTCCACAGCTTTGAATTTTCAAGCCCCTACAACACTGGTGACTTGATTTCTACTTCAGTACAATCGAGAACAACCTCAATGTTTTGATCTATTGTTACTTGAAACCTTGCGAGAAAACAGAAGACAACGACTGTCTGGTGAGTCTAACAGCGCCGGCCGACTAGTCATGCTCCAGAACTCAAAGAGCTGACTTGCGGCTAGGTCACTCGACAAAGCTAAAAACGAGTGCACACAACCTGGTCTAGAACGGCCAGCTGGGCCGGCGCACTATACATATACCGGATTCAGCTATCCAATTGAAACCGAACATAGGTAACCCTTTGGATGGAGGTTGCAGTAGTCATGAAATGGGCTGAACTCTGACTTGGTATTCCATACGAAAGTTCTCGAATTAAATTTGATTCATTACAAACATTGCTTTCATGGACAAAGCTTTCTTCTGCTTTAGGTAATTGTCCAAAAAGCTCATTCTCAAAGCGATTACTGCTATTTTCTATCCTGCAAAGCCCATGCAATGGACTACAATAATTTCTCCATCATTTGTCACTCTCTTTTAGGATATCTTAGCATCAGTAGCAACTAACACTGATAATAATTGCTCAGAATAAAAGAGTTTCATATTAATGCAATATTCTAATTACCGAAAACCTCTTAAGGGAGTGGCGCGAAAACTGAACATCAAATGCTATTGCTTAGATCCTCAATAAAAAGTTGAAATCAGTATTTAATCAAACCCCTCGGTTAACCTAGGAAAGGATTCACTTACTTGCTTAGATAAAGCCATGTAGACGTTAAACTTCGTGCAGTTCAAAGGTAGAAGTCCGAACAAAAAAGGATTAGTCTTGTAAGCTGTAGTAGTTCACACTGTTACTGACTGGCTGAACTGATTGTGCTGGAGATGGGTGGATGAATTCAAAAGCAAAATCGACGTAAATAACAATGAATGATTGACGTATCAAACAGGTTTGTCTAGAGACAACAGGTTTTCCCACACAGAGCGTGTTAATCATTCAGTCCAAGAAAACGTGATAATTGCTAACAAATGTTTAATAACGCCTGCAATTTTGTTATCAAAGGTACTGAATATTTGTATCGATAGACAGTCAGCTAACACCTTAGTTATTACAAGCTCTTTTTTAGAAAATCCGAATGATTGACTTATCAAAAAAAATAAATATATATTTGCGTCATTAAAGCTTAGCTTTTCATAAAAGGCACTACCATTTCATTGATCTAAATCAGAAAGAACTTTTCAATGCTCCAACACGGCCAGTATTAAGTGTTCAATTCTGATCTTTACTAAGAACTGGATTCAACTTTGCTGCTACGATTTAGGGCAAAAAGCAATTTTGGAAAAGATGTTTTGAGAACACATTTTACTGCACAGTAAAGAAATCTGCCCTACCAGTGGTGGAGGTTACGTTCGCGACACTTACAGTCCAGTTCACTAGATTTCCGCATCATTTTCGTGTTTTAACGAAATCGCGAAATTTACGAGAAGAGTAAATTTTTTAAATTACATAACCGCATGAGAAACAAAATACCTCCAAAGCTGCTTTTCTATATGATACTCAGACCCCAAAGAAACAGTGTGCCATCGTGCCTCGATAGTGATAGTATTAGAAACCAAACATTAGACAGAACTGGCTATGATATGTTCCTAATAAAGCTCTCAGCAGATGTGTAATATTTTGTTACGCAAAGGTTCAAAGCTGTAGAATTACGCGGACAAGCATCAGCGGTCATGTTGTGACAAGTTCATATTCTTTACCTTTTACTGATAGAGTCAAGTGGATACTCGATGACCCTTCCTGTTTGGCGCAATAACTACAATATAAAGTCTCGTAGGCATTTCTTGCACGCTCCAGATCACATGTAATGGTGCACTCTAAGTAGATAATGCACGTGGCTGGTACATGACCACTGAGAAAAGTTACGAATCAACTTTAAACAGCTTCTGCAGTCGACGATAGGCAGAGAGAAGATGTATGAAGAAAAGAAATGCAAAGGCCTAGATTAAGTCAACACGAAATATCTTGATTTATCCGTGTGTTTCAATAATATTCTCGTCACCCTTGCATAAGAGTTAAATTACGTAACCTCGCCGTTCGGTGTTGAAATTATGATGACGATTGTTTTTTACGAATTTCCCTTTGTAGATGAGTCAGTCAACGATTCGTTCCAAAAGTGATAGTCTTACTTTCTATAAACCCGCTGATTTTATTCTTTCTTAAGACTCTAGACTCTGAAAGTTCTTTTCAAGTTACACTGTAGAGAACCAGGTCTACTTCAAGTATCCCACAATACAACAGCTTTTTCATGTCTCACAGACCAAAAAAGTTCAAAAGCAAAAATACCGGAAAAAAGGTCAGAGCGAGTGCAAGCGATTGTTCAAAACAACAGACTGAGAAGTCACGAACAACGTATTCCCCAATTCGTATTCCCCAAAAGTGATAGTCTTACTTTCTATAAACCCGCTGATTTCATTCTTTCTTGATACCCTGGACTCAGCTTTTGCATGACTTACAGACCAATAAAGTTCAAAAACAAAAATACCGCAAAAAGGTCAAAGCGAATGCAAACCATTTTTCAAAATAGCAGAAGAAGCCACGAACAACATATACCGCAATTCCAAGCTCAGTTCTATACTAAATAAAGAAAATCGTTAGGGGTCTTCACACATGTGAAACGTCAATATATACGAAATATCTTGATTTATCCGTGTGTTTCAAGAATGTTCTCCTCACCCTTACATAAGGTTTAAATTACGTAACCTCGCCGGCCGGTGTTGATTTTGTGATGATCATTGATAATTAATTTTTTACGTATTTCCCTTTGTAGATGAGTCGGTCAACGCTTCGTTCCAAAAGTGATAGTTTTACTTTCTGTAAATCCGCCGATTTTATTCTTTCTTAAGACTCTAGACTCTGAAAGTTCTTTTCAAGTTACACTGTAGAGAACCAGGTCTACTTCAAGTATCCCACAATACAACAGCTTTTTCATGTCTCACAGACCAAAAAAGTTCAAAAGCAAAAATACCGGAAAAAAGGTCAGAGCGAGTGCAAGCGATTGTTCAAAACAACAGACTGAGAAGTCACGAACAACGTATTCCCCAATTCCAAGCTCAGTTGTATACTGAATAAAGAAAATCGTTAAGGGTCTTCACACACACACATATATATATATATATTTATTAAAAACTAGATCATTGGATAATGCAATTCAAGACTTTTTATTGGCTTAGCCATTATGGTATATCAGCCAATATACCATAATCTACAAATATGGCCATCGTAAGTGTCAGCTTAATATTAAAAGGGAGCTAAAAATTTAATAAAATTTTATACTTAATTTAACGTTTTTAATAAAACAATTATTCCACTCGCTCTTGTTGGATTTTACCAATACATCAAAAGAAAACAAAAACTTCGCCTTGGAAAGAGCCATCTCATCGGCACTATTCTATTTTGGTCGCGTAAGGTAAAGTGAACCATGCTTTATTCAGCTGCCCTTGAGCCAACTCTGTGGTTTACTTCAGCTCCCATCCATGTATCTTGTGCCTTGTGAGAAGCCGGCAAAAAATTATATGCTCGGTCAGTACCTCAAAGCTAAGTAGACGATGTCAGGAATAATACATGGACAAGGAATTGTTGTACCGATTATGACTCTAAAATGAAAATCATTGCGCTAACCTTATTACAGAAGACAACTAATACAACATCGGGTAAGCAAAGGAGTGATAACCACATTAGCTAATATTATTATTGACTGTCCGACTCCAGCCAGTGATGTGAAACTCAAATACAAAAGCTGTCAAACCTCAATTGTAGAACCTTCTTCGGTCTTCCAAGGTTGCTCAAGGTTATCGTGTTTCAATGACGCAAAGTCACGTTACCTCCAAGTTTTCCCTTGAAACCGAAATCTAAGAAAAGGAACATAACACGTCAGTAAAAATAAAACTTCAAACCGACATCACACATGTGTGAAGATCCTTAACGATTTTCTTTATTCAGTATAGAACTGAGCTTGGAATTGGGGTAAAAGTTGTTCGTGACTTCTTCTATTGTTTTGAAAAATCGTTTTCATTCGTTCTGACCTTTTGTCGGTAATTTTGTTTTTTAACTTTTTCGGTCTGTAAGACATGCAAAAGCTGTTGTGTTCTGGGATACTTAAAACTTGAAGTAGACTTTGTTCTCTACAATGTAACTTGAAAAGAACTTTCGGAGTCTAGAGTCTCAAGAAAAAATGAAATCAGCGGGTTACTAAGGGAAATTCGAAAAACAATTATCCATTATCATCATAATTTCAACACCGACCGGCGAGGTTACGTATATTCTTGAGAAACACGACTGACTCATTTACGAAGGGAAACTCGTAAAAAGATGATCAAACTTGAATCAAAGAGTATGCAATGATCATCATATTTTCAACACCAAGCAGCAAGTTAACGTAACTTAGCACCTATGCAAGGGAGACAAGTATGTCTTTTTGACAGACAGATAAAACAAGATATTTCGTATTGACTTAATCTAGCCTTTGCATTTCTTTTCTTCATACATCTTCTCTCTGTCTGTCGCCAATTGCAGAAGCTGTTTAGAAGTTGATTCGTAACTTTTCTCGATGGTTATGTGCCAGCCACGTGCAACATCTACTTAAGGTGAATCATTACACGTGATTTGGAGCTTGTAGGATTCGCTTATCTGGGTCTCAATAATCGCCGGAGGTTTCTGTGCCAAGAAAATAGGAAAAAGAAAAGCAAAATGAAAGGTTAGTGAGATATGCTTATCCGCGTATATCTAGAGTTTTGAAGCTTGGCCTGACGAAAAAAAGACTTTCTCTGAGAGCTTTATTAGCAACATATCAGAGCCAGTTATGTCTAATGTTTGATTTCTAACACTATCACTATCGAAAGCACAATGGCACACTGTTTGTTTGTGGTCTGAATACCACATATAAAAACAGTCTGGGAGGTATTTTGTTTCTCATGCGTTTATGTAATTTAACAATCTCCGCTACTCGTAGATTTCGCGATTTCGTAAAAAAATTAAAATGATGCGGAAATCAGGTGAAGCGGACTGTAAGCGTCGGAACGTAAACTCTACTACTGGCAGGGCAGATTTCTTTCCTATACAGTAAAAGGCGTTTTCAAAATGTCTTTTCCAAAATTGCTTTTTGCCCGAAATTGTAACTACAAAGTTGAATCAAGTTCTTGGTGAAGTTCGGAATTGAACACTTACTAATACTAGCTGTGAAGGAGCATTGAAAATTTCTGTGTGATCAGGAGATCGATGAACTGGCGGTGCCTTTCTATGAAAAGCTAAGCTTTGATTGAGCTCAGCTAATATATATATTTATTTTTTTGATGGGTCAATCACTTGGATCGTCTAAACAGGAGCTTTCAATAACCAAGATGTGAGCTGACTATCTATTGATACAAATATTAAATAACTTTGATAACAAATTTGCATGCGTTATGAAACATGTGTTAGCAAACATCACGTTTTCTTGGACTGAATGATGCAATGCGCTCGATCTGTGTGAGAAAACCTGTTGTCTCCAGACAAACCTGTTTTGATTTGTCAATCATTCATTGTTATTTGCGGCGATTTTGCTTTTGAAGTTGATCCACCCATCTCCAGCACAATCATTTAAGCTCGTCAGTAACAGTGTGAACTACTACAGCTTTCGATACTTTGTCTTTTTTTCTCCACTAACATCTTTGAACTGCAAGAAATTTAACCTCTACATGGCTTCATCTAAGCAAGTAAGTGAATCCTTCCCTGGGTTAACCAAGGGATTTAATCAAATACTGAATTCAACTTTTTCTTGAGGATCTAAGCAATAGCATTTGAACCGTTCAATTTGCGCGTCACTCCCAAAATGTGGTTTTCGCTAATTAGAACATTACATTTATATGAAACTCTTTTATTCTGAGCAAATAAAACCAGAGCTTGTTGGTTCTGATGCTAAGATATCCTCAAAGAGAGTGACGAACAATGGTAAAATTGAGATACAATGAATATATGAAGTTCATATATTTTGAACTGCGGTATTAGATACGTATGATGCACGATCCTCGCAGTAGATAGCGCTATTTAGCGCTATTTAGCGCTATCTACTGCGAGGATCATGCATCATACGTATCTAATACCGCAGTTCAAAATATATGAACTTCATATATTCATTGTATCTCATTTATCACTTTCACGGGTTTATTACGAATCAACTTAACGGCCTGCTCCCAGTTGGCTTGTTAGCTCAATTGGTAAAGCGCTGCACTAGTATCGCAGAGGTCAGTGGTTCGAGTCCCGTACAGGCCTAATTTTTTTCAGGTCTGATTTTCGCTATTGCACAAATAGCGCTATCTACTGCGAGGATCGTGCATCATACGAATGGTAAAATTATTGCCGTCCATTGAATGGTTTTTGTAGGATACAAAAAAAGCAGTAATGACATTGAGAATGAGCTCTTTGGACGATTACCGAAAGCAGAAGAAAGCTAAGCCTATGAAAGCAATGTTTGCAAAGGATGAATTTGAGAGCTGTCGTATGAAATACCAAGTCAGATTTCAGCCCATTTCTTGATTGCTGCAACCTGCAGCCAAACGGTTACACTGTATTCGTTTCCAATTGGTGGAATCCGGCAGATGAATAGTGTGCCTGCCCAGATGACCGTTCGAGACCAGGCTCTGTGCACTTTTTTTTAGCTTTCTCGGTTGACCCGGCTGCACGTGCAGGTCCGGCGCTGTTATCCTTACCAAACAGTCGCTGTCTTCTGTTCTCTCGCAAGGCTTCAAGAAACAGTAATTCAAAATGTCGAGCTCTTTTCGATTGTATTAGAAGAGGAAATCAATTCAGTAGTGTCTTACGGGCTTAAAAATTCAGTTTTTGTCTTGTCTTCTACAAATCAAAGCTGTGGATGCCATGGTTAGTCTGCATTCTGTTTCAGTTACATCTCGACCCAAAAAACCTTTAAAATTGAATCTTTTGTTTCCTTTTTTCTAATAAACCGTAAAACGGAGCAAGTTACAGAAGATGTGCCTCGGGTTGAGACGATGAAGTCGTTCAAACTATAACCATGGAACGTAACAAACCCACAGTTTCCATTCTGTCAGATTTTCTTCCCTACAACAATAAACAAAATCTATATATGTTACCAGTTTCGTCTTTTGTTTTGCTTAGTCATCACGGTCCGTACAATCATTGTTATGTAATCGATTGCCCAAAACTCTCATGTAATACAGACGCAATGTAGTTATAAGTTGAAATTACTATAGATAATCCTCATAGTATATTTCATTTTAATGGTTAAACTTTCCGTTGAAAGTCTGAGCTCAGTAAATCTAACTCAGAACTTACGATTTCGAGCGATTAAAGTAGTATTTGATAGTAGTTGAAATTTTGAACCTCAGGTTATGTAATTGAAAACATTTGCAAGTCTGTATTTTTCCCCCGTGTAAACCCTCATACTTCCCTATACCCTCATGCAGACGGTGTTCAGAACAGATTAAGGTATTTTCTGATGGTTGTATTCTACTTACAACATGGGCTTTTTGCATAGAATCATCGAATGCAGTTTTTGTTGCCTCAATTACTTTCATTTCTTTCGGAAGTGATATTCTCGAGTGATCACGGGATGTCTCAGGACAGAAAGCGAAACAATTGTTTAAAATTTTTGCAATATATTTTGTAGTGTCCCTCTAACTTAAGTACCTTTGCAGATTTAGCTTGGATGCGTAAGATCAGAGCCCCAATTACTTTTGCATCGACTCTAATGCGAGGGACGAGAAAAACAATCAAACCGAGTACTTGGGTATAAAAAGATTTGCACAACCGCAGAAATCTCTCTCGGTCCATAGACAATTGATTCGCGGTCGCTTTAGGTCAGTCGTTCTCTCTCTCGTCTAGCAACTATTAGTCTTTCTGCAAAGACCTGATAGTGTGTATGGCGGCAAATGGTAAATAGCAGTAAGTGTTTTGAATTCCAGCCTTCGTCTTTAAGGAAACGCCTCGCTAAGCCCGATTTTTCTGATCTTCTCTCAATCTTTTAGAAGTCAAGCGTCACCGTAGATTACGTTTCGAAGAACTGCCCAGCATTTGTTGGCGGTGGTTGCCCATATGCCAAGCTTGCCCAAGAAAAGAAAGGTATCTGTGCCAAATGTCCCCCTTTCGATAATGGCTGCCCTTTCAAAGAATCCAAGACTGTGGGTGAGCTTCAAGAGAAGATGGTCCAGATGCGGGACCAGTCCAAAGGTGAAGCTCAATGGATCCAGTTCTTGAAGGAGGTCGACTTTCTTAGCAAGGAAAAACACTTGGAGTACGGAACTGTCTCCCCTCAAAGCTTCTTCAAGGGTGGCTGCCCCTTTGCCAAAGATACCAGTGGAAAGGAGGAAATTTTGAAACCTATATACACTGTGGTCGGTAATTTTGCTTTCACAATGAGAATTTCATAGGGAAAACATCAATAAAGAGCTTTCTAACGTAAAGATAAGGAACACGAATTTCATTATACTTTGAAGTTTTTAAGCAATGCCAAACAATTGCCATCGTGTAGTGTCTTTTTTTTTCCCATTACAGAACAAATCTCGAAAAATTGAATATTCTATAGAATCTCTAACCTGAAGTGAAGAAAAATGTGATTAGCTCGCGGCTGAGTTCTTTAAGCTGTTGTGTACCGGTGCCTTGTCAAAGTTCTTGTTTCTAGTTAACTTCATTTTCACTTCAACCAGCAGTATCCATATTCTTTGACGGTTGAGGAGATCGTCAGGAAGTGCCCAGTTTTTGGCAAAGGTGTGTGCCCATATAAAGCTCTTGCTGATGAAATGAAAGGAATCACCGAAAACTGCCCCGGCTTTAAGAATGGATGCCCATTCAAGAACCTGACAACCATGGGTGAGTACGTGGGAAAACTGGCCCAAATGCGAGATATGACAGCCACTCCCAAGGGTCGAGCTGCATTCGAGAAGTTGATGATGAGGGTTCATGAGATCTCCAAGGAGGCTGAGAAGAAAGCTGGACCCTGGCCATTCCCTCCAAATACCTGTCCAATCTTTGCCCATGATGCACATGGAAAGCGTATCATGCCAAAATACAACTAGGCCCCCCGCTGAATGAAAGAAAACGGACCTAACTTGTCCAACCGGCGATTTAGTTGGTTTTCAGAAATTCCTTTTATTTCCATTTTGGTGTCTTTTTTTAAGGGTACGTTTTTAGGTTAGTGAGTTTCTTCCCAATATTCAACATTTATACACAGGGCTTGGTAATGGAACTTGTTTGTCAGGGAACGAAGCCTCGGTATTTGGTGAGATGATGAGATAGGTGACGAGTTACCTATGGAAAGCTCCCGCTCATTTGGCCAGGCTGTAACGATATCCCACTGCTTAGTATTACATGACTCAGTAATTGCTATTTTGTAATTTGTTTTCAAAGATGCTCCTTGCTACTCAGTATGTGTTTTGGTGAGGGTTTTTTTTTTTTCCGAATAGAGTTTTAATTTTTTCGCAATCAGCAACCTTCCCCCCCGCCCTGATTTTAATGTTCTCATCCTATGACGAGAATGACGTAGAGAATTTTCAGGTCATTCTGTGGTCATAAATTCATCTAATCTTGTCTGTAAGCAGAGTTTCAAAGTTACAACAGTGTTCAAACTTTTACCTATATCAGTAAAGTTTTTATCTTTGGGGTTTTAAAATGATTGTCACATTGAATTTGTTATGATTTAACTTCGACAGCTAGGTTCCACTTGGGGTACCAAAAGGAAAACTAACACGAAACTGTATCAGTCGTGTGTTTTTATGTGAGAGTGGCTATTCCCCATTCCTAGTGTAATCAAGTTCGCAATATTGTTATGAGGTATTTAGTTAGTTTAGGAAGTCTGTTTGTTGGTCAGTTCAGTATAATTCATGCCCAGTCTTTCGTTTGTATCAGGATGTAGTTGCTATATGAATTCAAATTCCAGAGTTATCCAGTCGGTTTGAGCTGTCGCGACGAGTTTCCGAATTGTGACAGTCTTGTGTAACTTCCATAAGTGGACGTGCTGAGTTTGACTACCGACGTTGATTTAGACCCACACGAAACTTTGTCCACTGACCTTGATTTAGACCCACATGAAAGTTCTTGTTTTGGCGGCTAACGCTGTCAGCGGCTAATTCAGTTGATCGGAAGCACTATGATTTAGGACTTGTTCATTTTGAAAGTCTTGTAAAATTGTTTGGTTCAGTGTTCTAACTACAAATGTTTAATCTTCCCGGAATGGAAAATTTTTTTTCTATGTCACAGAAAGATTTACCTGATCTTCCAATAAGGTTCTGTAATAATCTAATGAACCCCATTCCCCCCCGCCTTATTGGCGGTGAATTTGTACTTAGCCGGTTCAATATACACGCAAATGTGTGCCCTCTTTCACACGAATGCGGTCGCTGAGCGAAGTTGCGGTCACTCGAATTAACAATTCTGAAATGCGTCCCTGAGACGAAAATAAGTTAATCATTCAAATAATCCCCTTCAGTAAAATCCAATTTATATCAGATTGTTTTACTGTCAATTAACTACGCAGAAGTTTTAGAAATTTCCTTGATTTTGCCTTGCAAAGACGATATCAGTTCAGCCTCAACACATCGTATCAAAACTCCGTTTTAAATAGTTTTTCGAGAACGTACAATCCACGGAAAAATTTTTGGGAAGCAACGTTTGTTTCGTACTTGATATCCGACCCAACCCTCTGGGAATAAGTTGACAAAAGTGTCTAAAAGCTGTATTTTGTCCTCGTAACTGCTTACGAGTGATGAAGAGCCTTTCGAGTCGTCGTGCACAAGAAGTGTAGCTTCACCAAATTAAAGTTTCCCGACGAAGCGCCGTTGGATTAATTTTAACTACATATGAAAATTATGTTGTATGACGCATTTTACAAGAAAACTCTGGCTGCTTGAAATTAAAAATCACTTATGCTCAGTGTTACTTAAAGGACAGAGAAAATCCATTACTTACCGGAAACTATATGGTAAATGGTTTATGATAAAGACCTTAATTTGCTTATAAAACGAATCGAACCATTTTCTTACTACTATTTCTGCGAACATAATTTATTCATTAACCTTGTAATCAATGACCTCGAAAATATGAGAATCATATATGCGAATGGAGTTGTTTCGCAGTCGTGCGCACCAAAGAGCTGAGCCTTGGCTTTACACCAAATTAAATTTGCCTGATTTCTTTGAAAATAATTAATGTTGCTACTGTCAATTGTGTCCACCGTTGGAGCGTGTCAGGTTGTTATCACAAAGCAAGGAATGGCGACCATTTAACTGTTTCACTTTATAACTTTCATTTCCAAGATCAGAGAGTTTATTCTCCCTTCTCTCACAATACATCTCTTTAATGTTATTATAAGAGAACTTAATGTTGCATGAAGACGATGATATGTTCCCTGGTTGATAATTTCTTTAATTCTCGCTACCAGTCTACTCAACAATGTATAAAAGTTGTCAGGAGAATTTATTAACTGATAATTCTTGTCAGCCAAAAGGTTTAGAAGGAGAAAAGTGATAAATACCAAAAGCGTCAATATATTTCTAAAACTTTCGGTTTTACCATGGTGAAATTCTTCAATTCATAAAATCTACTTTCCTCATATTTGTATTTACGTCAGAATTTCAGTTTTTACTGGCCACGACACTAAGCTTAGTTTGTTTTCAGTGCTATTACTGGTATGTTCGATTCACGTTCTCCTTGAGGAGCATAAGGCCCGACGGTGGAACAGCTATTCGCTCACAAGTGGTCATTACACATAAACCTGTTTTAATCAGTTTCAGCGGGCACGATAACCTTTCCATTGAGCGATAGTTTATGGTGGTTATGTTTCAAATTGTTTTTGCGAAGTTCACCCGCAAACGGCGACCGTATCCACATGCAGAATTGAGAATTTCCTGTTGTCCTTGTTAGTACAAGGTATATGTAGCTGTCAAGAGAAATTTTAATAATTTTTTTCCGACTAAGGCACTATCCTACTATACAATGTACGGCTTGAATATCAACGGAACAAGAGTCTACGGGTTTCTCTCTTCAATTCTCCGTTTAATTTGCCTGGAGACAATGGAAACTGGTGACCAGGGTTTACTGGCCCACCTTTGCTTAGGTGGGCATTGGGTTTCTTTCTCTTTGTTTTTTGCCTCTAATTTGATATGCGACGATGTACAGTAAACAAAAGTTTCCTGTGGTCTGATCGACTTTCAGATTACCAAGTGGAAATCTGCCTACACTTCTAGTCCCGAGAAAACGGAATCAAAACACGAATTAGGATCGAAAGGAAATACAAAAGAAAAGGAATAAAAAGCAACGGCCCCATGAGGTGTGGTGCAAGCGTGCATTCGCACAAAAAGTCCAACACATGGTTACTCCACTCTGGTAAATGGCGCTTCATCAATTTAAAAGAAAAAATGAAAAATTTCACTCCTGTGCATTGGAATGTCACTCGCATGCAGCCGTATGTACTCGTATTTGTCCGTATGTTACTCGTATTTTACTCGCCGTATTCTTTTGGTGTTTTAGCCTGCAGAACTGGTAGTCAGTTTTTTGCGTTTTTTCAGTGGAACGAAGGTTGGCGCGAGGCGGCGTCCTGGAGGCACGCGCGAGGGGAGAGAATAAAAAATAACGCCTGTGTTCACATGCTCTTCCACCCTCAGACACACCTCCAGTTTTCCAACCAATCACAGCCCTCAAAAAAAGTGGCGTGGCGCGACTTGTTTACAGGCCGCAGCCGGTGCCAATACTAGAGCGACCACCTGGGTGGAGATCGTATTACGATGTAGGGTGCAGAAGTAAAAAGTAAAACTCTCACGAAAACATATACCAACCGCTCAACTTCAACAGAAACTTGTAGACTCTGCACTGTGCCGTGTTGATCTCAATGAAGATGGCAATCAAGTGAATTTGATCTCGCCTTCAGATGGCTGCCAAGTATTTAATTTTTGCCCAGTAATCGGGCTAAGAAGATGACGATAGAGAACGGTGAAGACTACAGCCAAAATGAAGGAGGAAAACAAAATTGTATGACGAGGCAAAATTTTCTCTCAAGAAATAATGGTTACCATACCGTATGCTTTCAGGGGGAAAAAAACCTAAAGGAAGATGTTTTTGTGGGGCTTACACAAGTTGTGTAGCCACATTGTGGCACTATCAGATTTATTTACTTTTCCACGAGAGTGCAGCGCCTGTTACGTGGTCTAGTGTCGTATGGCGGAGGAGTCTGAGTCGGCCCTCTCGGTTGTAGGCGTGGTCTCGAGTAATTTTTTATCTAGTTATACGTTCATCTTTGTTGCTGAGATTTTACTCACTGGCTTTCCTCCAGTCGGAGTCAGTCTAAGTGCGGATTACAGCTAGGAGTCTTTTATTTACCAACATTGAAACAAGTCGTTGAGCAATACCAAATGTGGAATGAAGTGATGTTTTGGTTTTACCCAATTTATGTACCGTTAGAATTCACGTGATTAGGCGGTGCGGTCACGTTCCACGTCAGTCATTTACCGGAACGTTTTTCATCCAGAATTTCTGTTCATACCACATATTCAGCAAGAAAATTACTTAACCAGTCTTTTTAGTACATTCTTAAATACAATATTTCAGCCAAGGAGTGAAAATAGGACTTTTTGTTGCCATTTGGAAACCAAACGCTGTTGTTGTCGGGAAATTCAGTATGACGACCTCTTCAAATGAAATTATTCTTTCATTTTTATATACGTCTAACGTCCTGAAACTGCGGTTTTTCGTTAACATGAAAATCTTGGTCCTAAATGGCTATTATAATTGATTCCAAACTTTGAGGAAGTAATACATTAAAACTCAGTAGCAAAGTGGTTTCGCTTTTATTAAAATACGAACAGGAGCCCAGTAGTTTATTGTTACAACTGAAAATAGTTAGGTGCCTTTTTCATTTATCACTAGTACAAAAGTAATAACTCAAGTACAAATGTAAACTGGATTCAACAACAATAGATCACACTAGAAACCAATCAGATTTACACGAAAGGTTTTGCTGATTGATACACACGGTAGCGGACCGAAATAAACAAAAGCTTTGAAATTTTTGTGCATATTGATAAACACTAACAAAATTGCATTCCTGAG